TCACTTGTCGAGAAAAGGATAATGACTGTACGAACTTTTTCAGAACACATAATTTCGGATTATTAGTTTGAATCCCACTAGCCTTAGGAGAATGCAAAGACCGTTGGAAAGACTGGACAGGATTCTATGAATTATCTCATCTTTTCACCGGGTAACGCTTATCAAATAGATGCGAAATGTCATGTCATGTCATATTTTCTAGGAAGTATGATGCTTTTTGATTTTTTAAAATGCTTGCTGCTATTTTAACAGTGACTGTGTCATTTCAAGTTGTAAATATGTCTTTTAAATCACTCCCCAAGCTCGACTGAGTTCCCTCTTTGCCTTGCGTCCATAGGAAAACATAGGGCTACAAGCGTTTTGAAATTTCAGCAGTGGTGTTGTTTCTGTGGGGAGGTGCTGCTATCCCTCACACCCAGTCCTACCTCTTTCGAGGGTTCACTCTCGGATAAGCTATGCTAGGTCTAGTAGTTCATCAGCTGGGAATCGAATCCCGGACCATCACTTCTCTGATAACGAGCACGAAGCACTTGTATTCACATTTTCGCTTTCTTGTCTTGCGAAGGAAACGATAAAAACTTCTCCATCGGAGTGGAACATCGGGTTCTATTCACCTTTTGCCGTACAATGAGATTTCTTTAGACTTGAGTTAAACTGAATAGAGTTATGGTCAATCCAGTGTTAAATATTACCAAGATGTGTCTATGAGCATTGACTAGACGTCTAATCAGCGATCCCGTATACTGAGAGAGTCTTATAAACCAAGTAATGGATATGTGTTCAGGCTTCAGTAGTCTACCGAAACCAGCAAACAGGAAGTAGCTATTGTAGTAGTGGATAAAGTACGTATTTCTGGGCTTCGTATGTGAAAGATATTTAACACCCTTCAGTAGTTTATATCACACACTAACATTCAGATACCGGTTGGAATGCAGTAACCAAAATGTGATGATCACCTGAAGTTATCCGTAAACCTACTAGTTCACAAATTCTCTTAATGATTAATAAGCAATGAAGTGATATTCATGTGTAAGCATTTAATGAATTTCTAGGTTGACCTTCTGGTGAATCGATAAAGTAGGTCTCGAGTGGAACATAGGGCTTCATTAGCAAATCTCCATTTCCCCTTGTTCTCTGCAGTCCTGTTTAACCGGCAGCATAATCTTTTGTCTCCTCCATGTTGACCGCAAATCCACGCCCATTCTGGACCCACTTGAGTGATGTCATCCAACGGTCTTCTCGGCGCCTGTTTGGTCCATCTCCTGCATTTTCTTCTACATATTTGCTGAGCAGTAGATTCTTGATTTGTTCGTTAGTAGAGTTTCTTGTCGCTAATCCCCTCCTGGTCGGACATCTGATATTGAGTATGCAGTCAAAGGAAGCAGCTATTTTTAAAGGTTTGTAGTAGTCTGTTGGCAAATGTTTTCCGTGACGCGTCAAGTTTCTGATCCATATAAAAGAATCGACTTAACATTGGCGTTGAATATCCTGATTTTGTTGTTTAAGTGTAGGTAGATCTATTCGACGTGTTTGTAATTGAAACAATGCGTCCTAGATACGTGAAGGAAGTGGCATCCCACTGATAGTCAATTGGTGCTTGTTGTTGTTGTCGTCGTCGTCGGTCAGTAAGTATGTTCATCACCTCTATGTTCACTTAAAGTCCTGTGTTTGCTGCGTCTTCCGCTAACTGTTTTCCAAAAATTAAACGTAACGTGTTGTTTTCTGCCATTTAAAAAAATGGTTCTCTTTAATTAATGTTAATAATTAAATATACCTTCATAATATTATTTTGTTTCACCGGACTATTTTCATCCTCATTTTTATTGGGTATGGATAGATATGCTTTTTCCCCTAACTTTCAAAAGACAATTTTGACATTATTCATCTACCCATTCAATCAGTATTCACATTCATCTACTTGCGTGTATGCATTCACCTTTGTATAACTGGTTGGTTGGTTATTCTCTCTCTCTCTCTCTCTCTGTATTATTGAATTCAACTATCTTTTTCTGTCGCGTATATATATATATTGACAGGAAAACTCATCAATACCAATTGTAATGCAACTCATACGCACACTCACACACACATAAATATTGCATACAAACACAATATAGTTCTTTTGTTTCCTACATCTTATTATCTTAGTTCTGTTTTGTTTGCTCTGTCTGAAGATGGATTATAACATGAAATCTATCGATTATCATCCGACTGTGTCTTGTGCATTTTACCACTTGTATGTGACATGTATGTGTGCGTGTGCGTGTACGTGTGTGTGTGTGTGTAGCTACATCGCTGGGAGCGTTTTTTTGTTGTCTAAATCTCTATAAATTCCACTGATAATCTCCATCATCAAGGGAATTGTGTTGGTTTTCCTCTTTTTTTTTATCTCTCATTTTTTTATTGACATTATATAAATCATGGAGTTGTGTTTACACCGAAGATTTTCCTGCTTCAGCGAATACACAGTCCATATGTGGACACCTGTAGTGTGATAGTAAGTAGTCTTTAATCAGTTAGACAATTAACTAGTAAATGGTAAAGTTTATAACAGTGTATATTCAGTCATGATCACCTTAGTATTTGGCTAATTTGAAAGCGGATCACTGTAGTCCGTTGGACTGCTTCAACTACGTATATTTTTCTTTCCGTGGCATCTGAGTTTAACTTATGCAATTTTTTCTACCAATAATAATATTCAACAGTTAGTTTGTAAGGAGCTGATTTCTTTTTCAGAATTGATCACGGATTGATATTAGTTAGAGAACCGGCTGAGTATTGAAGACTCTTCAGCAGTACGCCCTCATGACCCCGTTGGGGATCGAATCCAGGTCATTTAGGTTGCGAATTGACAGTAGTTAGGATTCATGGGCTATTGCATTCAATCCCAATGGCTGAATAGTCAACGAGCTCGCCTCGTAACCTTAAGGTCCTGTGCGTGCGCATTGGTGAATAGTCTCAAACTAGGATGAGACAGCAGCTGTCCAGTACTCCCTGATTTTCAGTGGTTCTCTAACTGTTATCAATACGTGATCAATGCTGAAATAATAATAATCATATCAAGTGATATGATTATGAGCAATAGTTTGTGCTCGAAACGTCACCAGTTATTATAACTGTATAACACTGTGTGATTTATCGAAATAAAATCTTATCCAAAATGGACTTATTGTATTTTATCCTTGTCGTACTCTTTATTCGTCTTGCCTTTTTCTCCTGGACTTTTCTGGACTGGGTTTGCTGGCATCATTTCAGCGCATAGATTGGTTTGTGAAGATGCCTAGATATCACTGTTAGTGCTAATATGAAGTTACTTATATGTTTGTGGCGTTGGGTGGTAATGAAATGCAGCATGCAAGTTTTTTCCTATTCAACACTGATATATAGTTGGGAAGTGGTTCTATTCGTCTGATATTTAAATTTACCTCATGTGTACCAGTCAGCTGTTGACCCGAAGTATTTTCGAATGTAATGAGGCTTAATTGATGGTGAGACTATTTGAGGTAGTCTTTAGGTGTTGTGACAGACTTTTATTGATGTGATGTGTGGTGGGTGATTGAAGGTTAATTAAGGGTTTGGGTCACAGCTGGATTCTAACTGTTGGTCTGTACCACCAAAGTTACCTGGTTATAGCAATGAAATGATAACTTGTTTAGCAGTTGACTCGCACAACTCATCAGATAGGGCACAGCACTAGTAATTCAGAGTCCGGTGGTTCGAGTCCGACCGTGACTCAGATTATCATTTCACTAGCAGTCATTATCCATTATTATAGTGGGGATGTGCTTTTTAATTCAAAGGGAAAAAAGTTGTATAACTGTTATTCGATAAAATTCTTTACTTTTTTGTCATTGTATGGTGAGAGCTGGCTGTTAGCCAAAATTGGTGGACAATAATTTACGTCAATGTTTATGTCCCCAATATTGGTCGTGAGAAAAATGAGAACGAAGGCTTTGTGTAGGCGGATACAGTTAACATATAGATGATCTGTTACCTGGCCCTTATCTTCTGTTGTTACATTTAGTGTCGCTGTCTACCGACAAATACAAAGCCTATGCCCTGCAGTTTTTGATGGAGATATATGGATCTTCGGGCAGGACTTCGAGGCTTCTGCGTAGTTAAGTGGCATTCAAGATCCGTCAGCGATTAGGCTGATACTTGGGACGTTGCTAGGAGGTCGGGAGAAAGCAGCATATGAAAGTGTAAGGCGGAATACTGAAGAATGTGCGACAGGGTCAGGCAAACAGTTTTCAAAGTGGGAAGGATCACAAATGGTCACGTTGAGATGGGGTTTCGCAGACGCGATCGCACTGGTGAACAAAGAGAAACAGGTGAACATCGGCGATTTCCGAGAATCCAGACAGCAAGAAAAACGAGCAAAGCCCCTAGAACCAAGAAGACGGGACCAACTTCAGTCGCAGGTCTTTGACGGGGGGACGAGTGTGGTGAGCGCTGGCTGTTAGTCGAAATTGGCGGACAATAATTTACGTCAATGTTTATGTCCCCAATATTGGTCGTGAGAAAAATGAGAACGAAGGCTTTGTGTAGGCGGATACAGTTAACATATAGATGATCTGTTACCTGGCCCTTGTCTTCTGTTGTTACAATTGTATATGAACTTGATGTTAATTCGTGGGCAATTAACAACGTTCTTCATTTTATTTCTACACATTCCGAGTGGAACATAGGGCTTAAGACTTCAGTTTCGGAGTTTCAGTAGGAGTAGTTTTTTTTATTTCCCTACAGGGTGACTAGCACCACGTCCAACCTTCCCTCTTTACCAGACTTACTACAGGCTAAGCGAGGCTCAGATGTGCATCAGCCGATGATCGAACTCTGGGACCACACGTCCGTGGTTGACGCGTATTCTACCACTGAACCACTAACGATTTGAAATCAAGCAATGGTGAGCGTATCACTACAAACCTCTTCTGTCAGTTTTGCGTAATTGTATAGTTGTTTTAATGCTTCTTTCTTTCTTTCTCTTTTTCTATGTAAAGGAGGAGAATCAGTTCAAAACTTTGTGTAGACCAGGTCATTGTCGTGCTGCAAGCAATGGAGATACTGATTTTCCAAAACATTTAAAAAATGGTTTCCGTTACGACAGACCAGATTGTATGATAGCAAAATCAATGATTGCTTTTAATCCGCAAGCCGAAATATCTGAAAGTATAACTACGAATGGTAAGAGTTGTCCAGTGAATAATGATGCAGAACATAAAAATGCGAATGAAGATGTAATGGAAACTCACTCTTGCCTGGATCATGATGAGAGTAATGGTGGCAGTGATGACGATGCGGAGGAGGAGGAGGAAGATGATGGCGGTGGTGAAGATGGAGGAGAATATGTCGAAGTTGGCGGTAAAACGACACATTTACCTGATGAATCCACATCTGTCTTGTCGGGTAATTTGAGTCAGCAGTACTCATTGGATAATTATACACCTAATACAAGTGGTCCTGGCGGTGGTGGTGGTAGTGGTGATCCTTCAGTACCAAGCAATGGACGGCATACAATTAGTTCTGCATACGAACGTGGATGTCATGCGCCTACACGTGCTTCTATAACTGCTTTGTCTTTCAATCCACCTGGTAAGTGGTAACTTTTGAAAGAAAGTTATACAGTAATCAAGTGTGCTGTCATGACTGTTTGGAAGAAAATTGAGCCCAAGCATATATATATTATACATATATATGCGTCGGTGGCACAGTGGTTAGGACGCTCGCCAGCCATGCATGTGATCCTGGGTTCGATTCCCGGCCAACGCACTCCTTCACCTCGCTAGGCCAGAAATAATGCTGGTAAAGAGGAAAGGTTGGACATGAGGCTGGCAACCCCATCCTGTAAAAATAAACACTGCTACAGAAACTTCAAGCCACTAGCTTGAAGCCCTATGTTCCACTGGGAACATGAAGGAAAAATTATTATATATATATATAGCCATTATTATTATTATTATTCTCTTGGGTTCCGAGTGGAACATAGGGCTTCAGCAGCACATCGTCCCTTCACTTTTTTCTTCACAGTCCTTAATAACTGCTCCACTACTTCCACAAGCTTTCATCTTTTCTTCCCATGATCTTCTCCATGTCATCCCGTGATGCCCGACTCGTCGTTTCCCATTGAGATTCCAGTCGAGGACATATTGTGTGATGTGGATCAATGATCTTTTTAGCGCATGTCTGATCTACCTTCTGCATATTTGTTGGGTAATAATTTCCTCGTTGGTTTGTTCATAAAGTCCTATGTTCCTGATCCTTTCTGATAGGCTGTGTGATCTTCAGTATGGTGGTGCCGAAGGCACCTGTTGATGATAACTTACAGAAACCCGTGTCTAGACTGTAATATATATATATATATATATATATATATATATATATCTGTCTGTCTGGATTCAACATAGAACTTGGCACCGAAGTGCAGCAGTTCGAGTTGCCACGTTCCAAATAGCACACAGAGGTAGACAAGAAGATGAGTGGAGAGAATCAATAGAGTTTGACAAGTATAAGAGTGAAACAGAATGGGTAATGGTAGAAAGGAATATGAAAGATTACAGAGACTGAATACATCTGCGCCATTGACAACGATTTTGAGCCATGTCACCTATTGTCTCCAGCCATTGATTCCTAGAGTCCCGAGGGCCCCAACCCGGGAGTCTGCATCTCCCTACCTGACTCAGTTTAACTGTCAAGGATTTCATGGATTGATGAGGCCATGTTTTTGTTTGGCCACCACTGGCTCTTTTCCAACCTGAACCTATATCAGCTAGCAATGCCCGTCGGGGGAGGCGGTGGTTAGGCATGCGCAGCACGTGACCTAGCCATCTTAGTCTATGTAACTTTATAGCCTCGTCGATTGATTTTCCCTCTTTGCCCAACACTCTACGCCTAACGTCAACATTACTTATCTTGTGAAACCACCTAACGTGAGACAGAGATCGCAGACATCTATGATCGAAAGCAGTCAACCTTTTCATGTCTTCAACGCGTATTGGCCATGTTTCAGAGCCATAGAGAAGGACGGAGCGAACTGATGAGCAGTACACACGTCCCTTGGTTGATAACCGGATGTCACGCCTACGCCAGAGATGGTGTAAGTCAGCGAAAGCAGCTCGAGCTTTTCGGATCCGTGCTGAGATTTCATCGCCAATCAGTCCGTTGGTGCTAATACAACTTCCCAAGTAGGTGAAGTGGTCAACATGTTCTATCACTTCACTCCCTATCACTAAGTTAGGGGTTGACGTGGTCCAGTCCTGTAGCAGCATCTTACATTTTGCAGGGGCGAATCGCATGCCAAACATACGAAGATTGCTGCTCAAGGTGTTCAGAAGACTCTGCATTTTTTCAGCATCCTCCCCTAACAGGACTATGTCATCTGCATATTCTAAGTCCATTAGATTATTCCCTGGTAACAAGTCGATTCCTAAGTCACTACGTTCAGTTAAGGATACTTCCATTAGCATATCTATGATGAAGTTAAACAGAAATGGGGAAAGTGGACATCCCTGTCGGACACCACTGGTTGTTACCAATTCAGATGACAATTCCCCATAAGCCCTTACACGACTACGTGAGTTTGAATAGAGTGCCTTGATTAGTGCAATGTACTTTCTTGGCACTCCCTTCACAGTCAGACATTGCCATAGTACCTTTCGATCCACGGAGTCGAAGGCCGCCTTCAAGTCAAGAAATATGACAATTGTTGGACGCCGAAAAGTGTGTCTATGTTCTAGAATCTGTCGAAGAGTGAAGATATGATCTATGCACCCTCTACCTGGTCTAAAGCCTGCTTGATTTTCCCTTGTCTGTTCCTCCCGAGTTCTGCTTAGTCTATGTATGATTACTGAGCCTATATATATATATAGAAGCACTGACTTAATACTAGTGTCGAAAATCCAAATCTAGTTCTTTATTCTGTGCACATTAGATATCCACACTGATTTCATCCTAATAAAGGTATCTGTGGCATTTCGACCTGCTACACCCTGCCGGTCACGACTTCAGGTCGGTCGTGAGGACAAATACTCGCCGAAGACATTTGTTGGTGGTCGCGCTATGTCGTGAATTGACAGAAGTTAGAATTCATGGGCCATTGGATCGGATCCCAATGGCCTAATGGTCTACGAGCTCGCCTTGTAACCAGAAGGTCCTGGGTTCAAACCCCTGTGGTGGGTACGTACTGATGAAGAGTCCCAAACTAGGAAGAAACAGCTGTCCAGTACTCCCAGGTTTTCCACGTTTCTCTTACTAATGTCAGCTCATGATGAAATCCGGTAAACAATCTATGATTGTTGAAGCAATTTTGACTAGTACTACTACAGTCATTGAAAGAGGTTTACTCTGTGGGGTCTGTTTTTGGGTGAGATAACATTTCAGTGCAACTCAATGTGTTCGCTACTCATTGATGAGAATAACAGATGTAGTCATACCCATTTATATTGCTATGTTTTTTGGTGACGGAATCTATGAGGTATCAGACAGCATAATGCTCATCGTCATAAAATAATATATGCAGTGAGTTGTGGGAAGATTCGTAGAAAGCAAATGACTGACCAAATTCTTGCTTTTTTCCCATAAGGATTTTGGGATACTTTTTCTAATGTTTGATAATGCTTAATTTTTATTATCAAAATTGTGGAAATATTTCTACTGGATTCAATACATGCTTGTGCTGCCACCTTGTGACAATAGTCCTTTTAGTTAAACAATAATGCAGTGCTCTTTGATGACTATTTAAAGATGGTATTCCCGAAGTGTTTCGCTCAGATGTGATGGCTTATATGGCGGGAAAGGAGTTGATGATCGGGAAAGTTTTGTGTGCTAATGGAAGTGTATGGGTGATTATTACCTCCGGCTACCCACAGCGTGAAAATTGATTCCTTCCTAGAATGCCTAAAACAGAAGGAGCGTTAGTGTTGTGTGAATCTCGAGCCCGGAGGACAACCTCTTGAGGCCGGTCAGACATGGTCTGTTTTAAGTGGTTATTGGAGTTGTGTCCGTACTAAGGTCTCATCGCTGGCTATATGGGCAGCTGCAGGGTAAGTTGGGATATACAGTTCCCAGGATAAAGCTTTCCTAGCCTACCCCCAGCTCAAAAGAGGAAGGGAGAAGTATGGCTGGCTTACTGATCACCTGAGGAGAACACTACTGCCAGCAGTATGGCCCCACTGACACACCCTCGATGTAGTGCAAACAACTCACACTGTGATGGTAATTGCTCTTAGTCTGACCAGTATCCAAACGACCCCTCTGGCATTGTAGGACATGCAGTAAAATTACTTCCAGACAGTGTATCTCATTGGATCATTGAGATATGCAAGCCTGACTACCGTATCAAGGTAGCAGCTATCAGCCAGCAACACCAATATGTCTCTAACTTATGTGGTCAACACAACTGGACCTATGCATAGTAATCAATCAACATAGTTGGATGATAACCATCATATACGACAAGTCACAATAATTTCGGGAAACTTCTTCATAGGATTTCAGTTCAATGACTGCCCCTTAACCGTGGATGGTGCTATCGTTTACCATTTCAGTCGGGCTTATTACATAACCGTGAGTTACAATAAAACAGAAATCCAATGCTACTTAAATTTTTCAATGATTCTTTAGACTCTCTGTAGGTCCTTTAGTAACTACATTCAGGCTTTCATTGTGGTTTGCACTTCGATTCTTTACAACAGCTTCTAAACAAGGCGCCACTTGTAATTTGACTTAAAGTACTTGGTATTCTGGTTGAAACTATTTCGGCTGTTTTTGATTTATCGGCCATTCTAAATGCATCTTTATTTTCATATATGTTTTGGTGTTTTTCCACTTTGTTTATTCTATATTTTGTTGTTGTTGTTGTCTGTTTACGTTTTTGTGTTTCTAATCTTTAAAGTTGGAAAAGCTTCATCTAAGGACAGTGGTGTTGACTCGTCAGCTGTACTGTATCCAAAACAAGCTGTACCGCCACCAGTCTATACAAATCTTACCCAACTGACGCATGCAGCTCAACGGAAATTCTCTATGTCACAATTGCCTATTGTTCATTCTTATGAAAATGTTGACAACACCTTGGAAAGACTACAGTATGTTAAAAGTGATCTAAAGACTAATTGTCATCATTTCCCGCATCAGTTAGCGCATCCCAATTCTATTCCAACAAGTACATCACAAAATCAAGCTATGAATAGTGCTCAACAAATTAATAATGCTACTACTACTGCTACAGCTACTAGTAACAACACTAATGGTAATTGGTCAGTTACCAGTAGTCTGAGTAAACTTAATCTGAATGATTCTGAATTAAATCAATCACGTGGTGAAGAGAAATATGCTAATCCATCGGGATTACTACAATCTAAAGTGGATAAATTGTCCAGTAATACTAGCCTGTCTAGCTCATGTTTCAGTTCAAAGCACCAATTGGATGGTGTTTCAATCTCTGGGAGTACTTCAGTTGCTTCTGGGGCTGTTGGTAATATGCCGTCTTGTCATCAAACAAATGGAGCAGATCCATTCAGTATGGAAATGGAAGAACTTGATCAAATGCTACCAGGCAAGTTTTCTTCTTAGTGTTATATATATATATATGTATATATTCCTTGCTCTGTGAGTGGAACAAGGTGTCAGAATTGAGCTTTGAAGTTCTAGTAACAGTGTTGGTTTTATGGAGTGGGGTTGCTAGCCTCATCACCAGCCTCCCCTCTTTTCCAGGTTCACTATGAGATAATAAACTAGGCGAGGTTTAGTAGTGCCTCGTTCGGAGATCGAACCCAGACCACATGTGTGGCTAGCGAGCATCCTAGCATTGAACCACTGACGCGCATATATGCAGATACATTACATTAAAAAAATAATTCAAGGGAGAATTTTTTCAGTGGAAGTTACTGAGAATTGTTCAATGGATTAACACAGAAGTTAGCACAAGAAGTGAATCGGTTCAAATTTTCACATTTCTTCATCTGCACATAACATAAGGAAACTGGAACAGAATGATGCTAAAACGGTGTGATGATGGGAATAATTAAATTAAAAAAAGACTAGTTCAAGCATTGAAATATGAATGATTTCCAATCACCCAATGAAGAATCTATAACAATCAATTCTTAATATCCTGTGGACCCTAAAGAGTGCTATTCTTGTATCCAACTAGACATGGATTGATATACGTGTTGCGGATCCTAGTAATGTCGTCTGCTCCTCGGAAATTTGAATGGCTCGATAGGACTTATTGTATAGTATCTGAATGCTTAAAATATAGTGAACCGCATTCGTTTTCTCAACCATACTGAAGAACTTTTTCGTGATATCTAAGGGGAGTAACTGACGTCTTTTGTTGTGCTTTAGAAGTATAATATCATCCAATTGATCAGGTCGAAGTATAGTACGAATGGGGGTTTCTAACCCAATCAAGCTATATATGTAGTTGGAGATGATGAGTGAGTAAGGCTTGTAAATTAATTGATCAAGTAACTTGCTACTACACTTCAACTTTATCGATGCTTTCATCTCATATTATGATGATATCTACGTTCAAACTGCTCCATTGCCTTCTGATTTGTAAATATGTAATGCTGTAAAAAATTTCCTCAATTAATAATTATTGCACATTTGATGTTATTGTCTTAATCCGTATTTATTTTTTCGCTTCTCTTTTCCCACCTTTTTGTTGCTGTGATTCGGTTTGTGTGTGTGTGTGTGTGTTTATAAATTTTATCCCGTTTTTTTGTTGGTGCTTTTTCATGATTAATGTGGAAATGTGTATATTTACAAACACGGGTTTATTTTAATATATATACATATACGCTGCCGTGATTCCCTTTACTTTCTGCTCTCCTCCACCCCACGCTGTGTTTCTTCCTATTCATCGTTTTTCATAAACAATTCACTGGTTATTGTGTACACTTTTGTGAAACAGAGTCTAGTTCAGTAGACTATAGTAGTACAATAAATAAAATTGTCTCTAAATATGTACATGATCATTTAGTTCAGAGTAGTACAACAATGCCGAATTATTGTCTCTTACCAAGGGCATTAACATCAGCTAGTCAACGAAACCGCGCTAATCATTGTTATTCTATGAATAAGATAGGATTATCTAATCGTGTTTCATGTAAACCAGGCGGAAACACTTTTGACAGTTGTTGTACACTAAATGAAATTGAAGATGATCATCATATTCGCAGTGACTATAGTTATAACAATAATAATGATGATCTTATTAATAATGACAGTAATAATAATAATAATGTGTCCTATGTGAATTCAACTTGTGCACAACGAAGTGATTTCTTCACACCTCAATCATTCTTTTCTCGAAGATTATTATCTAATGATGGTCTTACCAACTCCAGTAGATATTCTCTGTGTAATTCACTTTATCCTGCCTCATCTGAATCTAGTGTCAAAGAAATGTCAGTAAATCTGATTGATCACCACCACCAGTCAATGAATTCTCCGTGTTTTACTAACAGTCAACCACCTCAACCTGTACCTCCATCATCGAGTCTGTCACCACCACCACCACCACCGATACAACCGAAACCTTTACATTTAAAGCATATGCAAGCGTTAAGTCAGTATAATTTAAACAAAAAGTCAGCCTGTCTAATACGTCCTTGTCCACCGCCAAGAAAGTGTAGTGTTTTAACTTCACAAGATTGTCTGATGACATCCGGTGTTAGTATGCCGTGTGGTTTGAATACACCTGATCTATCTGTGTATGAAGGCATTAATAATAAGTATTGTCAGGGGAATAATTTCTATGAAGGTAATTGTTTCACTGGTTCACTAAGACGTGTACCGTATATATAAGATTGAAGTGAATAAATCATTAAACAAACTAACTTACTAATTAACTAACTAATTGACTAACTTATTTAAGTGTATACTTAGTTTGTGCTGCTTAGTTAACTTTGCCCTTCATGTCTTTTTCTCACTCTTTCTGTCTTCTTTCCACCGGGGACACAGACGATTACGTACACACCTATTGCGTAATAGTTGACTGCTATTCTTGCTGATTTCCCCGGGTTGCACATTCAAGTTTTCAGTAAATATTTTTGACTTTTACGCTCTTATTTTGTTGATTTTTGTCTTTTTTCAATCATCACTTATTCTTCTTATTCTTTCTTTTTTTCAAAATAAATAACCAAGGAAACGAAATCAACAGTTTTACTGGCTTGTTTAACTAATTAGTTAATAGGTTAAGTTCGATGTAATTTGTGCTGAAATAAGAAAGAAACTGGGTATTTCAAGTGCAGCTGTTCACCTATATAACTAAATAGCTCATTTATTCACCTTGATTATAGTGTGTATGTGTGTGTGAACTTGAGCAGCTTACGGCTAACATACTAGTTACCTAATAGGATGTGTATTAGTATCATTTAACAATGACTGTGCAACATGTTACATTAGTTACATTTATCTACTAAGTCGTGTTACATTTTTTTATGGGAGTACTGACTGATTAGTCATGGTGTTAATTACATTCAACTGATTTAGTCGGTTGTAGGTTGCACCTTGGTTTACTTGTTGAATTTTACGTTTACTACTATTATTATTGTTTCCTTTAATTCCTAGAGGAACATAGGGTTTCAGTCGCACGTCTCCATTCGAGAGAGTACCCGGGTATGTGATGTTACTTGCTGGTTTGTTTTCTCAGAGTATGGCTAATCCCCACCTCCATTTCTTCCTGCATATTTTTTGCACAATTGGTTCATGGTTGGTTGGCTCGTTCCTAGAGATTCCTGTTGCTGATCCTCCCCGGCCACCTGATCTTGAGTATTTTACGTTTAGCGGTTGTGAATTTGGTTAGATAAAGTTTAAACCTTCAAACAATTGATTGGTTGAGAAAAAAATGCTTATGCGTTACAATAGACGTAACTCAATGATTTACTTCAATTCGGATAAAATAGCGCTTGGTTTCTCTCTAACAAATTTAGGATGCACACAACTTATGCACATTTTGTCATCTTTATTACTCACGAAGAAGATCAGTGGTCCCTATCAAAGGTGGAAGTCAAATCAATCTATATTGATGATGATTTGAATTGATTCGGATCTTTTAATTGGATCTATCTAGCTACACACACAGGACTGAGATGAGCTTTGCTCTACTAAAAATAACTATCAAACATTTCTCGCTGATGTAGGTAGTACTCAACTGTTCACATCAGTCAATCAATCAATCAATCACCGATGGTACATAACAGTGTGCACTGATGCTTCTTCTGTTCATTGTCATTTATGGTAGTATCAAAAACACTACATATTGTTATCTGAACAATCTTTGGTTTTCAAAGGGAAGTGTTGCAAATTTTCACCCTGAAATGTATAATTTATGTATGTATAGCTCTGGTGTTGGTTTTCTACTTTATTATTTAGCTTGCATTTTTCCCGTGTAACTCTTTAACTAAAAACAGAAATAATCAGAAAATAAAGGTGAACACCAGGTGATCGGAATCTAACTACAACACATAGCATTGCTAACACACAGAGGTATTTCAATCACTTTGTATCTAGGTGGTAAAAGGACTTCAATAAACAGATGTGCATATTGTTTGCAGGAATGTTGTTCAGGAAATATATATATATATATATATATTTCTCACTGGTTGAGGGGTATTTTATGTCAGTAGGTTAATCGTTTTCACTAATCTAGGAGCCTCTATTCTGAATTATCCATCCATCATGGTTTCTTATTTCAAAGTAGACTTTATCACCACCCAAAGTCATTTCAATCTTTGAGTGGAGTCGTTGATGCACTCCGCTAAAGAGAGTCCCAAATCAGCACTAATTAGCTTCCCGTTGCCTACTAATTTTCAATGGTTGATTCTCTAAGTAATGCTAGTTTACGATGAAATCGACCTGTTTGGTTAACACTTAAAAGATGGTTTCTTACTGGCATCAGCCTCACCTCACTGCAGTTAGAAACATCTGTCGTCTAAAAAACCTTGTGGAGCATTCACTACCTAGTGTTCACATACTATCTTAAGCCTGTCTTTTTGAGTAAATAAATATAGCGTCATAAATTCACCAGTCAATTTTTTTTGTGCGTCGGTGGGACAGTGGTTAGTACTCTCGCCGACCGTGCACATGGTCCGGGGTTCGATCCTCTGCCGACGCACACCTGATATCTATGGTCGGCCTGAAAATTTTGGGCTACCGATGTCACATGCTGAAAATTCCATACCTGTACCAAAAATACGGTGTGGAATCAAGCTGTAATAAAAAAATAATATAAATTATTACTTTATGCATCCTTTATTTTGGCTACTCCCGTTTTTATCACAATTTATTTTACAAGGACTGATATTAATAATTGGCGATTGAAAGTCCGCAAAAATAATATAGCATTATATACTCGTATTTCTTTCCCTTGAATGACTAACTGTTTAATGACGAGGCCGTCTGGCATAGTCTTTGGATTTTACTAATTTGGCCACGGATTGATATCAGTTAGAGAACCATTGAAAACCAGGGAGTGCTGGGCAGCTGTTTCATCCTAGTTTGGGAATCATCGGCAGTACGCACCCACTGAGGTTCGAAACTAGGGCC